ACTCGCAAGAAGAACCGCCTTGGTAAAGATACAGACATCATGACCCAGGCATAAACCGCAGACCAGATGATGCAGATAGACGACAGAGAGATGATATTGTCCCGCCTCTGAATTCCGCCAATGACAACAAACTTCCTGATATGGTTGCCACTGGCTAGCGGAAAGGAATAAATGAGGAACTGCCCAAGTAGCAAAAAGGAATTTCCCCATTCAATTCGTCATACCATCCACTAAACACTGACATGTGTTTTGTTCGTCTTGTTTAGAAGTCGTTCACTTTTGTAAATAACCGTATGACGGCTTCCAAACCTTCCATTGGGTTTCTGGTCATACGATTCCTCCCACAGACATAACTGCTTCATTAGCATAAAGAGCTCTGTCAGTCTCAGGTATCAAAGCATCGCAAATCGACGGTTTTGCCGTTCACAGCAGATCTTCATTCCTAATGTAGAGGTGAAAAGGTTAAAGGAGCGTAGTACTCTCCGTGGGTTAATAGGTATCTTGCATCGTTCTTCAATAACGTTAAATAAATTTTAAATTAATCTTCGTTTTGAGGTGCAATCAAGCGGAACAAGGTGCCTTAATGCCATTTAAATCTAGTTAGCAAAATATCCCGTTTCTAATGTACATAAGCGCTGAGCATACCAGCAAATCATACTGCAAATCACTCAGGAGTGTGAGAGCTTGTCGCCTATCTGGAAACGACTGAGCGAAGATTTGCTGAAATTTTTCGTCTTAAGGAAAATGTTTTCCTTGCTATATTAAGGTCAATTCATTTGGTCTTGGTGCAGTATTATTTAAGGAACAACGTCCTCATAAGAGCGAAAAAAATGCCAGTGAACGAAATCACATGTCAGAGTAAATTATGGTGTAGTGTGTTCTCTCCAAGTCGTGCAATGACCGTGAGGGCGCTTCACGAATCTCAATCTGTCGGGGAGCGTCGCAACAGTAACCATGGCATAGCATAATTGCACGTGTTTATGGCACATCCTGCTGAGCAGAAGAATACTTGGATATATTCTCTCCATTCCATCCAAGACAGAACAATGGCGGGTCGATTGCTCTTGCGAAAGCAGGATCAGTAATGCAGTGTAATGTCTACTTCTGAACCGAAGAAAACTAACTATAAGAGATATTTTGATCTACGCATATCATAGACCAGGAACCAACGTATGAACCTTGTGTATGGTTACTGTCCATGTTAGGTCAGAAACTGCACAGCATTCGACCCAGACGACAAGGCAACATTCAAACTTTGTCGTTGTTTGTCATCGTCGTCTGTGCCTTGCAATCTTGACAGTTGCGTTTGTCCCATATTAATGATGGCTCATATTCATGGGACGCACTTCCTAAACGAATATTTAAGCATTAACTGCTTCGACCAGGGGCATGCGTAATTTAAGAACCGTAAGTCAATAATCAAACAAAGAAGTAAAACCGTGCGACGGTGAACAATAGACTGATTACATCTGGAGAATACTACTGCACTAAAAATGCATCGAAATTAATGAAGGATCATTTTTCAGCGGTATACTGACATCGTGTTCCCGCAACCCTGGTCATAAACCACATGAAGGAACATATTTTTACAGGGTTGGGGAAGGAGACGTGGGCAGAAGCAGTCAGAATGCTCGGAGTAGATATACAAGCAACGGAAATGGTATTTCGTTGGAGAACTAGCGAGATAGCAACCTGCAAATTTCAGTACTTAAAGGTTCGAGATATTCCTCGTTTGTGACCCTCTCCAAATAGAAACGTCGCGATGATTTCAACAAGTAATCAGGATGCGAGAGTAGACTTCGCAAGGCGAACTTGGCAAAGCTACAAGGAAGTCGGCCAAGGTAACAAGGGAAGCCAGGTGGATCCATTATATGGGACAATCGAATCGTTCCGCGTTAGAATCTGGCGGAAAACTAGGTCAATTGAAAAAATTTCATGAAACTATTGGTCTTGCCACTCGAAAGGAATATGGGACTATGAAACTGAATGGCAGTTCGTCAAAGTCATGAAATTCGTTGCCGAAACGGCACAGTTAATGCTTATGCTTCCATTAGTTCACCGTGCCTTTTGCGCCTAGAGACCGAACCGAATGCAGATAAAGATCACGTGGTATTCATGGCATTTAATTATTAAAATACCATGAAACGCTCATTTACATAAAATCTCTGCATTCGAACCTGTTTTTATTTCGAACAATTATCAAAACAGTAATAACTTACATTTCCCACGCAGCAAATAGCGTCCATACTTGTAACAACTTTTTGGGTGCTGTCGTAAGTTGCAGTTTTCTTTGTAGAGCGCATAAGCTTCTTCTGGATTGTTTAGAATCGCTTCTGTGTAGTCTCCCAAAAGATGACAGCCTGCAATATTCCTCTCATATTAAGTTACGTAAATGTTGCAACTGATTTAAGGAAAAAGATGGCTAAGGAAAAATACTGTAAAGTAAGCAAATGAGCTAAAATTCAAAACAGTCAAAAGCGGCGCACGCTGAACGACAGAACCCAATTAAATGTCACGTGTGATCGAATAGTACAAAACCATTCCGTAAGGAAAGCATCTGATGTTCGACGCCAGATATGCACTGAAACTACAAGATGCTGAAGTAATGACGTTAAAACCCGCTCTGACCGACTAGTGAAACGAGCTGAGCTGAGAAGTTGAGACAATTAAGATGATCGAAGCAAACTGGTAGGCGATAAAATGAATATCTTGGATGGATCGATGGATCCTCTGTGCTTATTATCCCTATGTTTAAATAAGATACTCGGAAATGATTTAAAATGAAATAGTAAGCCAAATACACTTAGTGAGTGAATTGAAGAACGCGGGTGTTTCATATGAAAATTATTGACATAATTAATTGCACGGCGGCTCATGAGGAAATAACTCCAAAAAATGAAACGAAAAATGTTTGATTTATGTTTCGGTGAACTCCAT